GCCTCTGTCACGGAGCCTCTGTCGTGGGGCCCCTGTCATGGAGCCTCTGTCACGGGGCCCCTGTCACGGAGCCTCTGTCACGGGGCCTCTGTCATGGAGCCTCTGTCGTGGGGCCCCTGTCATGAAGCCTCTGTCATGGGGCCTCTGTCATGGAGCCTCTGTCATGGAGCCTCTGTCACGGGGCCCCTGTCACGGAGCTTTGTCATGAGTGGTACTTTTACTTGAAAGGATGACTGGCCAACTGATTACTCGAATTTGGGTATTTGCAATAAATGAAGAGTTTTGGAAAAACTTCTCTACCACCATGAGCTCCCCAAGACTTAAAGACTTCTTTGAGAAGACTGGTGGTGATATTAACGAAAGTGACTCTTAGGTATTGAATAATGAATGTCAACATTTGGAAGATGTCCATAACTCGGTCAGTCATTATTTCCTAGTGATAATGCAGACGTTACCAATCACTCCTGAGTGCAAGATAAAGCAATGGATTTTAATGTAACAAATTCCATGTTGCAATTCACCTTTTTTAAAATAACTTTTTATTTTTAAATAGTTTAAGACTTGCAAGAAATTACAAAAATAGTAATAGAGTTCTCTCTTAGTTATCTAGTGCTGCCATAACAGAAATATCACAAGTGGATGGCTTTAACAAAGAAAAATTTACTCTCTCACAGTCTAGGAGGCTAGAAGTCCGAATCCAGGGTGCCAGCTCCAGGGGAAGGCTTTCTCTCTCTGCTGGCTCTGGGGGAAGGTCCTCGTCATCAATCTTCCCTGGTTGGGGAGCTTCTCAGCACAGGGATCCCGGGTCCAAAGGACGTGCTATTCTCCTGGCTCGTTTCTTGTGGTATGAGGAAGTCCCCATGTCTCGGGACTCTATTATAGCTCAAAGAGATTCGCATAAAACACAACCTAGTCTTGTAAATTGAGTCCTGCCTCATTAACATAACTGCCACCTCTCCCACCTCATTAACATCACGGAGTTCAGATTTACAACACATAGGAAAATCACATCAGATGACAAAATGGTGGACAATCACACAATACTGGGAATCATGGCCCAGCCAAGCTGACAGATTTTTGGGGGACAAAATTTGATCCGTAACAAGTTCCATGTACCCTTCACCCACCTTCCCCATGATGACCTCTGACACAACCAGATACATTGTCACAACCAGGAAATCGATGTTAGTACAATTCTATTCACTCAGGTACAAACCTCGGGTGTCCCGTTTTAATATGTACATTCTTCTTTTCCAACTAACCTTCAAATAAAGTACATGGTCAGTGAAAGAGAAGACCCTCAATGAGATGGATTGACAGAGTAGCTGCAACAATGGGCTCAAGCATAACAACGATTGTGAGGATGGCGCAGGACTGGGCCGTGTTTCGTTCTGCTGTGCACGGGGTCGCTATGTCCACGGGGTCACCATGAGTCGGAACAGACTGGACGGCACCTAACAACAACAACCACCTTCAAGAAACCAAGCCTTGTCAGGTTTTAGTGTCGCACCGAGAAAGAACATCCACAACGATCAGAAAAAGAATGTTAAAAATCTCTTCCCTTTTCCAACCACGTACGTCTCTGTATGAGGCTGGGTTTTCTCATACTTCAACCAAAAACACCTCACAGCAGACTCACCGCAGGCTCCGCTGTCTTCAACTAAGCCAGACATTGAGGAGATCTGCAAAAACGTCAACAATGCCACTCTGCTCAGAAAGTGTCTTTGTTTTGGAAAATACGGTTATTTTTCTTAAAAATATGTTATATTAACATGCCATGGGCTTATTATTTTTAACAAATAAATATTTTTGAATTTTTTTAGTTTTAATTCCAAATACCACAAACATTGACTGATATAACCCAAATAAACAAAAACTCTTGGGGGCTGCAATGATTTTCAGATTGTGAAGGGGTGCCATGATGCCAATCCTGGTTGGAGAGGGCTCCCCTCACAGAGCTCCTGGGCTCTCGGAAACCCTAACGCACGAGATAGGGGCGGGAAAGTCTTGATTTGTTGGTATAAATGCACGTATTTGGGTCATACCAAACTTATCCAGAGGAAGTTAAAATTTCAGAAGTTTCTGAAGTGCCTGCCACAAAGGGAAATATTAATAGTAATGATACAGACTCAATTAATTTAAAGTGACCTTTTTCAGAAAGAGAAAACATATTAAATCCCTTGTTATTTAGTCTAAATTCAGATACAGCAGTCAAAGAAATTGAAGCTACTCATCAACTTTATAGAATTCTCTCTCTTTTTGAGAATTGCTCTTGCATTTAAACAGACTTTTCATCACTCAAATTCGTGAAGTTAACGCAGACTTTTGAAACACAGTATTTTCCCAGTGTCTGTACAGTGTTGTCTAAGGTTTTGTGAGTTTGGTTTGATCCATGGCTGTGAAGAATATGCAAAGAGCAGCTGTAATGAACAGATGCATTCCCTCATAGAGAAGCTTTGGAGAAAACACACTCCATATAAATAAATGATAACGCAGGGACGTCACCAGAATGATATACACGGACACTGGAATGGAACATATCAGCGCGTAGCAGAAGCAAGCACGACGCAGTGCTGAATGGCTGTGGATGAAAAAGAAAACGTGAATCAGTATGTGCCACCTTGTATCACGTGAGGCAAGAACACATACACAACCGTGTGAATCAGTATGTGCCGCCTTGTGTCATGGGACGCAAGAACACATATACAACCCACATCCTTATTTTGGAAGCAACTGTGGTCACCCGGCTCCTGCTCGTGGCATGGCACTGTCGCTCCCACAAGCACTCAAACACAGGCAGGCAGCCTGGTGCCAGCTTTCCGCTAGATGCTCCAGAGAAGGAGGGAAAACCCAGCCCCTGCTCCCCATAAGCCCGCGTCCTAGTGACGGGGAAAGAGCATACCGTATCAGGAAGTAGCCAATGGCACCAAGAAGAACAACGCAGAGCAAACAAAGACCGATGCAGTGAGGGCTGCGATTTCCTATAACACACACCCTGAGCTCTCTAGAAATGCTTCTAAGTCTGTACATAAAAATGACTAGACTGCTGGCCGAAAGTGCCATTTCTGGGACTTCCCTGCCCCACAGAGGTCTGGATTCAGTAAATCAGGGCTGGGCAGAAATCTGCATTTCTACGAGATCACACCTGAGACACAGCTGGAGGCTGGCAGTCTCCAAACCTTCTCATTGCCACTGCAATCTGTGAAACGATTTTGAAAACACCCCCAGATCGGCACAGTTGTTTATTTATAAATTACATGCGTATACTACTGTCCTATTATAGCACACATGATAAAACATAAGCAACAGGTAGGAATCACAAACAAGAGGTACAAACATAAACAGGAGTTTTTTTCTGTTCCACTTTGGAGACAGGCTCCAAACAGGTCAGGTCAGGAAGTTAACAGGGAAGACAAATTCGGAAAATGACCACAACCCCTTACCGCACTCGACGTCCCCATTTGTTTTCAAACAACTCTATTTTTAAGTAGAGTACTTGTTAGTTCTTTATCGATCGTCAATACTCCATTGTTTTTATTTTAACCAACATACATTTAATCTGAATTAGGTTGGCAATTTGAACCCACCCAGAAGCCCCAGAAGACGGGCCGTGAAAACTGTATGGAGCACAGTTCTACTCTGAGCCAAGGGGTTGCCATGAGTTAGAACTGACTCATAGCAACCAGCAGGCATCAAAGAACAACTCTGCAGTGTTTCGGCAACAAGGCCGAGTCGGCCCAGTGATGTGGGATTTCGCTCCAGCACTGCCTTTACTTTGAAGCTCCACGAATCTGAGCCCTGAAGGAGCCAAAGAGGCTGGGGGTCAGTCTGTCCCAGAGCAGAGGGAGGAGGTGGGTTGGTGTCCATCCCTAGACAGACTCCGGTCGCCCTGCGTGTACACAGCCAGAGGCGGCACCCAGGGTATCACCTGCGACCCTAAGGGGCCAGAACCCGACAGTTGAGCCTGACTCACTGTTAAGATTCCACATTAAAAACAGCGTCTTCAGTCTCTACAGACTTTCATGGGTGAATGGTCCACACCCCGAGGTCCACCAACACAATTTACCCAACAGTACAAGGGGGTACGACTGACATGCAATCCTGGGGGAGGGCCTTGTGGGCTTTACGCTGAGTGACGACATCCAGCCCTGAAAGGTCCCATACTGTAGGATTTCATTTGTACAAATGCATGTTCAAAAGAACAGAACGACAGAGAGCAGCTTAGTGGTTGCCGGGACTGGCAACGTGAGGGGCGTGCTCCCCATAAAGGGCAGTGCAATGGGCTTCTGAGGCGAAGCAGGTCTGGATCTGGCTGTGGTGGTAACAGGACTCCACACACAAGGTGACATGTGGAACCACACCCACACACAGCCGCATGCCACACGCACACACGCCACACCCACCCGCACATCACACCCACACCCACTCACATGCCACACACCCACACGCCACATGCACACCCATACCCACCCACATGCCTCACACACCGACATACCCCCACATGCCACATGAACCCCCACACCCCATGCCATGCAAACCCCCATTCCACAAACACCCCCACACCACATGCACACCCCCACATGCCACATGCATACCCCCACACGCCAAACACATACCACACACACCACACATCCCAACACATACCACATGCACACCCCACACACACCTATATACACACCCCCACACCACCCCCACACCCTCCCCACATCACACACATACCCTCCACACACATCATACACACACCCCACCGCACTCCCCCACCCCCACATACAAGCGCAGGTCAAAGTTGGTGGGTTAGGCTTGGAGTCTGGGTCACAGTCTTGCATGGTTTTGATGACGGCCCAGCTCTTGGGGGTAGTAGGGTAAAGGATACAGGGACCAACTGTACCATTCCTGAACTTCCAGGGGCGTCTGTGACTACGTCAAATTAAAGGTTAAGTCGTCTGGCACCTTCACATCTACGACCTCCAGCCGGCTCCTGCCCAGTCTGCAAAGGTCCCCGGCAGCACCTCAAATCCTGCAGAGGCCAGCCCAGGCTCTTGATGCCTCCCTCAAGCACTGCCGTGAGTGCCTGCTAGTCTCTCTGTCTGTGTCTTCTCCTCTTACTCAATCTGCACCGCCATCACTGCTGCCTGGGCTCCTCAAAGCATGGCCTCTGCCATTCCTTAGCCTCACGGCAGCACCCTGGAACATAGTCAGGCCAGGGTCTGGCCCACTGGTAACTGCAACTACTGCTGTGAAATGACCCCATCAGAGGCACACGGACCTCGGGCTGCTGGCAGGGGAACACTTGCTGGTATGCTGGGCATGGTGCAGGAGGGTCTTTGTGGTCCCACACTGGGCTGAGAAAGGTCTGCACACAAGAGAACAGCAGCAGAGGTGTTCCTTGAAGGGGCCACAAAGGCACAGGGGCAGAACAGTGAGTATGTGTGTGCATGCGTGTATGTGTGTGCAAATGCATGTGTGTGCACGTGAGTACACGTGCGTGTGAGTACGCGTGCATGTGGGTGTGAACGTGTAAAAATGGCTTGGGGGCAGCATCTGAGCTCCTCTAACTTCACAAAGGGGAAGGAGAACCAAGATCAACAGACGAAGGCTGATTCCTATGAGGCAGAGGTCCAACACGCCTCCTCTCTCCGCCATCTTTACCAGTTCTGACACCAGCCGTCCCACCCACAGCGCTCTCTACTTCTCTGCTGGGTCTGATAATTCACTGCAATGGCCACACAGAACTCACAGACAATACTCCCGATTGTGGGGTTTATTAGAGAAGTAACAGGTTACAATTCAGGCTCAGGAACACTCAGGATACAGTTCTTGCATGAGGACAGCCTCTTCTCAGCTCTGCTCGCAGTCACGCCTCTCCCTGGCCCTAGGCCTCTGCCCAGTCACTCAGCTTTCTCTCTCCACGGGCTGGGAAGCCCACCATGCCGTCCCCTGCTGCCGGGTCTCTGCCACCACTTCTTGTCGTCTTCAGTGCTACAGCTCTGTCTGTCTGTCTGTCTCCTCTGTCTCTCTTCTCAGTGCAGGGATCCCGGGTCCGAAGAACATGCTGGCTCCTGGGTGCTCTTCCTTGGTGGTGGTGGGATCGTCTCTCTTCCCGGCCCCTGCGGTAGCTTTCAAAACCAGTGGCCTGGCAAAACTGACCAATCCCCTTGGTGGGCTACAATGACCCTATCCGCACAGTCCCACCCAATTACCTGGGTAGTAGCCGCAAGATCATGGAGAGAAAGGCCACACACAAGCAATCTATTACACCACAGGGCGCGTGTGCGCAAGTCTGTGAATGTGTGTGTACGTGTGCGCAACTACTTAGGTCCATGTGTGCATGCACAGACACGTGAATCTGTGTGAACATGTATGTGTGAGCATGTACATGCATGTACTCTTCACAAGTGCGGGCACGTGTGTGTACGCGTATGTGTATTGTGCTGAGTACATACGTGGACACGTGTGCACCTGGGCAAACGTACACATGTGCATGTGTCTGTGTGTGTGCAAATATGCACTGTGGCAGGTAACTGATCGTTTTACCATCTCCCCAAGACTGTGAGCTCCTGGAGCGGGATCCTTGTGCCTGTACTGTGGCCTCCTGGGTACATGGCCTCACAGGCAGGGGAGCACACAGGGAGGTGGACTCACAGGCAGTGACCAGCTACCTGCCCTGAGGACAGGCGGCCTGGAACACGCGGCCTGTCACTGCACCAACACCTGGTCGAGGCACACTCTCCACCGAGCGCCCATGGAGATGGGTCACACACCCAAGGCGCTGCTGTGTCCCTCCCGGGGGCATCCACAGGTCAGCCAACAATCCTTCGGGTGCACTTCCCTTTAGCCACACCAGGGTACGGGAGGCGGAGCTCCGATCCACCACCACCCTGGCCTTGTGGTTCAATTTAATTCACATCTTTTAAAGTTACTGCTTAGTGAGTTGAAGATAATGGTGATGGAATAATTTGGAAAAGGATACTGAGAATACAGCACGACTGGAAGAAAGTAATCGATGTCACTGAATCTTACATGTAGAAATTTTTGAAATTGTGTATCTTTGGCTATGTATATTTTCACCAAAAAAGAAAAAAGGCCCTCCAAGGCCGAGAAGGGAGAGGGTTGACATGTCGGGGGGGTGTTCAGCAATGTCATAAAACAATCTGCGTACTGACTGTGTAATGAGAAACTATTTGTTCTGTAAACCTTCATCTAAAGTACAATAAAAAAAAATTATAAAAAATAAATAAAGTTACTGCTTAGTGGCCTGTGGCTCTTCCGTGAGAACACTCGGTGGGTCCTGCTCCGACAGCCTCTGTGAGGGCGGTTTGGCCTTTGGGGCCAGTGGACCAAGGGGGCCAGCAGCTTACATGGCCTGCTTCAGGGTCTGTTGCGGGTGTCAGGCCCCAAACCCAGCAGGGACTTGCTAAGCAAAGTCTCAGGGCCTAACATCTGAGCCACCAGAAATGCACTTTCTATTTACCATTCTTATCTGTTATAGGTTTTTACTTTAACAAAACAGAAAGATTGAATAAAACTTGATGCTTTAAGCTTTTAAAAATGAACGAGAAAGAAAAATTTTAATGGAGGAGAAATATTCCTCAATTAGGGAAACTTTCATTAATGCTCCCAACTGATAAAAATGCTTTCAGCTTACTTTAAAGTGATCTCGCCTGCTGTTTTCCCCAAACACAAAGGGGCCCAGGCTGTGTCAGGAGATGGAATCGGGACGCAGAGAGCCAGGAGCTGCTGCTGCAGGCCCAAGACCAGCCCTGCAGGCGCCCGACGGAGGCGGCTTGTCCAGACTGAATGCCCGGGGGCGCTGGGTGCGTGCAGACCTCCAACCAAACCAGCGCAGCTCACAGAACACATCTGAGGGAGGTGCCGAGGGTCTCACGGCCTGACACGGGGGCCTCTGTCGCCCTGTCACCTGCCCCGTTCCTGGCCAACACCTTGTCCAGTGGGTAGTGTGAGGCGCTGGTGGCGAACATCCATAGGTCCACTGGGTGGTGCCCGGGACCCGGACAGGGTGCGAGTGAGGGTCCAGTCCTGCTGAATTGGCAGGACTCGGCTAGACGGCAGGAGATCCCACACATGGAGTCAGCAGCCACCAGGCAAGAACTTTCCTTTTGTATAAGGGTGTGGGGTCAGGATGAAACTGGAAATCGGGAACAGGTGACCCCAACTCCACCTCTGACCCCAAGGTCAACAAGACACAAGACAGTGAGGGGCAGTTGGGAGGGGAAGGCTGGGGTGGCAGTGGGGATCCCAGTGGGTGGCAAGGACGATGTGCTCACTGCAGCTCTGACTGCCAGAAAGGGGAGGGGAAGTGCCACCCCGGGCTCATTCCCCTGGACACCTGCTTCCCTGTCACAGACCCCAACTCCCTGCTGTGGGCGCCCTGACTCTACCAAAACCCTCTGGCCCTCCCTGTCCCCCACCCTGCACTCCTGGTCGCCCACGGCCCGCCCAGCGCTGTGCAGGGTCACCTGCCTTCCAGAGCAGCAGCACACCTATCAGATACACCAGGGCATGGCTGGAGGGAACTGCGGCGGCTCAGGCGGCTCACGGCCAGCAGCAGGGGCAGAGGCGCGAGGAGGACCTCAGAACCAGCCAAGCTTGTGCTGGATGCCGTGGACCTCACACACATCCTCCCTCCCCCCACGGCAGCCCGAGGTACCCGTGGTCCCCGCCTCCCAGGAGGAAACTGAGCCGCAGACCAGTCAGGTAACTGCTGCTGACGGCACTGCCTACAGACCACGGAGGCCAGCGCCTGGGCCTGGCTGACGGGGTGTCCCTTGGGGAACCCCAGGAGCTAAGAGCCGGAGACACAGACCCACACCCACCATGCAGTCCATGCCCTGCCCAGGCTTGAGGTGCCAGGCCACGTCCTCTCCAGGGACACACGGAGAGTAAGGGCAGACACCGTCACGGAGAGCAGCATAGGGACAGCACTGTCCCAGAGAAGGAGAGGAGGGCCAGACTGCCAGCCTCCTAGGGGACGTGGACTCCCCAGGGACTCACTTCCCAGAGTTCCAGGGACCAAGCGCCGAGTCTCTTGTCTTCATCTCCAGAAGTGGGGGCCCATCTCCCCCGGCCCAGCCCAGTGAGCAGGCACTCTCAGGTCAGCGAGGGAGCATGCCGCCTGCCCCTCAGAAACAGGTTCAGAGGCTGCACGGCCTGACAGCACACACGGAGACCCAGCGCTGGCCCTCAGGCAGCCCCTTCCTCCTTAAGGAAAAGGAAATCGATAAAAACACCCTCTGGGCCATGGCACTCAGACCACGTGCGCTGGAGCAGAGACCCTCTGCCAACAGCTGATGGCAGACTCGCTGCGGCTGTTGTGCTGTAAGACAAAGTGGCTCACCTGCTTGACTCTGAGCTCAGGTAGTTCACCAGGTGGCTGGCCCACAGGATGGGGCCCACGTAGGTGGCAAACGTGGTCAGGAACGCGGCAGGAACCTCCACGTAGTGCTCCAGGCCCACGAAGCCTGCCGAGACGTCCACAGTAGCGATGTTGTTGGAGTTCCCCTGAGGAGAAGGGGGCTCGGCTGTCATGAGACCTGCAGCCAGGGCAGCTGGGCGGTCAGGACCAGGTGCCCACTAAGCGTCCTGTGATGGCACAGCTGAGGTACTCGGAACGAGAAGCCTCCTCCTCTGGCTAGGGTCAGGGGTCTGCTCTGAGGGCCATGTGGTGCCAGCCGTGGCCTCTCTATGCCAATCCTGTGAGGAGCTGGTACTGACCAATGCTCACCCAGCCCCTGCCGTTCCCCATGCACGACACCCTTCCCAGGAAAGCTGATTAAGCTAGTCCTGGACAGGAGGGCTGGGGCTGCGCCCGTGAGCCATGGGGCAGGACAGCCAGGCACCTGGAGGCAGTGTCAGGCAGGCAGCCCCCCAGCTCTGCCACAACGCCCAATTTGGAGCCACATGCATCCCAGGCCCAAAGAGGAGGAGAGTGATGTGGACGCCCCGCTGGACTGTGTCCTGGTATGAGAGGGGGCAGGAAGGTCATGCAGGAACTGGGCAGGAGCCAGACAGCAGCTGGGACTCGAAGGTCAGCTTGACCTAGTCGGTCACCTGGTAGGTGTTGTCTAGCAGTTCAGAGGACAGGACGGGAAAGCCGTGCACCGTGGACTGTACTGCAGCCAGGCCAGAAGGGCAGGCAGAGTAACCCGTACACACGGGAGGGGGAAAGGGGGGCCGGGGCCCCAGGCCGACTTGCTCTCTGGACTGGTGTGAGGAAGAGGAATCACCATGCAGGGGCAGTGGGGACACCTAGGGGTGAGGACACGGCCCAGAGACGCCGAGTGGCTCATCCAGTGAGGGCAGCCACCCCACCACAGCAGGGCTGGCCAGGAGGGAGCGAGGGCGTGCAGGGTCCACCCTGTGAGGAGCCCTGACTCTGCGCCCAGGAGAAGAGCCAGCAGTGGCCACGGTGGGAGGGACTGTCTGATCCGACAGGATGGACCTGGAGCTGGGCCTTCTGTCTACCTGTCCAGCTGGGCAGGGCCTCCAGGCTGGTGGGCTGCCCCATCGACGTGTACATAACTGGGGTCTACCCTAGGGGCGGCTTGCTTGTCTCTGAGGGACCTTTCAGTCCTGGAGAGGATGTGTGTCAACTGCCAACTCCCAAGGAGGGACAGCCAGGTGGGGCACATACAGGCACCCAGGGCCGCCTGCCCCTGACACCCAGCACAAAACCGAGTACAAGTATTACATCAACCAAACACAGCAACTGAGAACCATGACGTGCTCTCAGTAAATGAAGGTGAGTTCACGCGCTGTACCGTGGTATCAGCCCGCCACGGCCTCTCCTTCCTTCCGTGAGTTGTACCCCAGGGTGTGCATGAGTGCCTGCACTGGCCGACCGCCCTTCACTGTAGCAGATTTTCCCAAAGAAGGCCTGACAGAGGACGGCACGCAGACAGCGCACCTGGAAGTAGAAGAAGGCCTGGCCGAACCAGTAGTGCATCACTGTGACCTCTGCCACGCCGTGGTTCAGGGGCTTCCACACACACTTGGCCATCAGGGTCTGGACCAGGAGGCTGGACACCAGCACTGGGAGGTTGTGCGGCCTGAGCAGCAACGCCGCCAGCAGGACCAGCCCACTGTGTATCTCCCACAAGCCCACAGTCCTGGCTGGGACGCCCGCAGCAGAAACTTGAGACCTGAGCAAGTCTTTGGTGCCCGTGAAGAGGATGCCAAGGACAAAGACATAAACAAAACGCGCCTCGACGATGCCCCTGGAAAAGCAAAACAAGTTACAACAATTAGCACCAGCTGGCAAAGTTCAAATACGTATTTTCCTGTGAAAAACACATCTACTAGAAACACACAAAGGTGCCAGTGTACCTAAGCAAGCGACAGAGCCCCCACTCACCCCCCAAGTAACTCCGTGAAAATGAGGGGCGTCGCCTCTACACATCAGGCCTCCTGGGCCAGACTCTGTCAGGTCAGACCCCCAGGCCAGACGCCGCTGGTGAGACACCCTGGGCTACCTGCTAAAGGCCAGGGACACAACCCCTCTGTGTGTTCTGACAGTGGGGCGGGGTTCAGAGGATCTTGCCCATTCAGCCTGATAACCAGACAGTGCCTGCCACCTGTAGCAGCAGGGAAACTGTCCACCTGCTCCGCACAGGTAACTGGAAAAAGCACTGCGCTCGTGTAAGACTGAGCTCTGTCTTAAACCGTCCGTAAGTCTATGAAATGCTGTTACACAAGTGCGCATGTTTAAAACAAAGCAGACTTAAATACGTATATGCATACGTGTGTACAAGGTCACTGTCTTAGTCGTCTAGTGCTGCTGTAACAGAAATAACACAAGCGGATGGCTTTGACTAACAGAAGATTATTCTCTCACAGTCCAGGAGGCTAGAAGTCCAAATTCAGGCTCCAGCTTTAGGGAAAGGCTTTCTCTGTCAGTTCTGGGGGAAGGTCCTTGTCATCAACCTTCGCCTGGGTCTAGGAACTTCTCAGTACAGGGACCCTGGGTCCAAAAGACGAACCCTTCTCCTGGCACTTTTCTTGGTGGCATGAGGTCCCTTCACTCTCTGCTCGACTCTCTCGTCTACATCTCAAGAGAGACTGACCACATACAACCCAGTCCTATAGAGTCCTGCCTCATTAAAACAAATGCCTGTAACACTGCCGCATTGACATCATAGAGGTTGGGATTCACAACACGAAGGATAATCCCATCAGATCACAAAACGGGGGACAACCTCACAATACTGGGAATCATGGCTCAGCCATGTTGACACGTATCTCTGGGGGACACAGTTTAATGCACAACAGGCACAGTGGTCCAAACTGTAGGGTCTGGAGATGCCAGAGCTGAGTGTGAGCGCTGCCACCCACCAGCTCTGCATCTGGGGCAAGTTAACTAAGACGTGTGACACCCACCTCCCTTATTTGTAGAATCCAGAGAAAATGGTACCTACACCTCAAAAGTATCCTGGGGCTTAAAAATAAAGTGTTCAGGACACTATGGTGCTCCACAAATAGCAGGAATTAAATATTTTAGTGCTTCATCATGAGTCATGTGTAAAGGATACAATTCATACTACACCAAAGAATGCAAAGGTATTCGACTGTGCGGATCATAACAAATTACGGATAACACTGCAAAGAATGGGAGTTCCAGGACACTTAATTGTGCTCATGAGGAACCTGTACATAGATCAAGAGGCAGTTGTTCGAACAGAACACGGGGATACTGCGTGGTTTAAAGTCAGGAAAGGCGTGCGTCAGGGTTGTATCCTTTCACTATACCTATTCGATCTGTATGCTGAGCAAATAATCCGAGAAGCTGGACTATATGAAGAAGAATGGGGCATCGGGATTGGAGAAAGACTCATTAACAACCTGTGATGTGCGGATGACACAACCTTGCTTGCTGAAAGTGAAGAGGACCTGAAGTACTTACTGATGAAGATCAAAGACCACAGTCTTCACTATGGATTACACCTCAAAATAAAGAAAACAAAAATCCTCACAACTGGGCCAATAAGCAACATCATGATAAACGGAGAAAAAATTGAAGTTGTCAAGGATTTTATTTTACTTGGATCCACAATCAACACCCATGGAAGCAGCAGTCAAGAAATCAAACCATGCATTACATTGGGCAAATCTGCTACAAAACACCTCTTTCAAGTGTTAAAAAGCGAAGATATCACCTTGAATACTAAGGTGCACCTGACCCAAGCCATAGTGTTTTCAATCACCTCATACACATGAGAAAGCTGGACAATGAATAAGGAAGTTTGAAGAACAATTGACGCCTTTGAATTGTGGTGTTGGTGAAGAATAGTGAATATACGGAAAGACTGCTAAAAGAACAAACACATCTGTCTTGGAAGAAGTACAGTCAGAATGCTCTTGAGAAGCAAAGAAGTACAGCCAGAATGCTCTTTAGAAGCAAGGATGGAGAGACTACATCTCACATACTTTGGACATGTTACTCGGAGGGGTCAGTCCCTGGAGAAGGACATCATGCTTGGTAGAGGGTCAGCGAAAAAGAGGAAGACCCTCAACGAGATGGACTGACACGGTGGCAGCAGCGATGGGCTCAAGCGTAACGACAATTGTGAGGGTGGCGCAGGACCGGGCAGGGTTTCCTTCTGTTGTACACGGGGTCGCTGTGAGTCAGAACCGACTCGACGGCACCTAGCGACAACGTACTGAAGAATTTCATCTTGTGAAACAGACGTTTTCTAAAGCGTAATACTTCAAATAAATTTTAGTAAATGGAGTATCTTGTATACACTAGAGAAGCTGATTATTTTAAGTAACGCTAAGCAAATAAACTGTAAATGAAATAACCACCAAAATAATGTCTGTTTGAAAAACTGAAATTTCCTGTATCAGATGTTCTTAGAAAGGTTCATGCATTTTTTAAAATTCCTTTCGTTCTAGTATGACCAGTCAGTTTAATTTTAAAAAGTTTCTTTGCGTACCCTCTCACCGTGTGCCTGGGGGTACAGAAGACACCCTAGTTAGGACACAAGTCCTGCCTTGAGGGGCTGACACCCTGTGAGGAGTCAGATACGTAGAAACCACAAGACAAAAGTATGTGCTAAACTGAGAGCTAATGGAGGGGCCACTTAGGGATCAAAGGAGGGAGAAATCAGCAAATGCTGAAGCAAGTGAGACAAGTGTCAAAGAAGAATGGGGTTGGGCTCTGGACCGAGAGGACATCACGAGACGCCCTCAATAGACCCCCCTCCTTGCCCAACCTGCACATCCAGCACTGCCCCAACTCCAACCTCCACTGCAGCCAAGCCTGGGCTTCTGAGCAGAGAAGAAAGTCAGGAGTTAGAAGGTAGGGTTCAGAATAGCAATGGGTGGCAGCATCTGTAGGGACTGAAAGGAGAGAAGCAGCTGTTATGGTAATCTAGCATCAGGATAAGCTCTAGAATCAGGATTAGTCTAGAACCAGGAGGCAGATATAGCATCAGAACAGATCTGGAACCAGGATAGATCCACCATTAGGATAGATCTAGAACCAGGGTAGATCTGGAATGAGAACAGACCTCGCATCAGAACAGATTATCAGGATACAGCTAGTCAGAATAGAGCTAGAACGAGGATAGATCTAGCCATCAGGGTAAGTCTCCTATCAGGGTAGTAGACCTAGTGTCAGAATAGCTCTCTTATCAGGATAGGTCTAGAATCAGGACAGGTGTGTAGAATCAGGTTAGGTCCAGCATCAGGAAAGATTCAGGATTAGGGCAGACCTAGCACCAGATAGATCTAGAATCAGGACAAGTCTAGAACCAGGAGATAGATTTAGCATTAGAATGGATCTAGAACCAGGACAGAGCTAGCATCAGGATGGATCTAGAACCAGGATAGATCTAGAAAGAGAACAGGTCTGTCATCAGGACAGATCTATTATCAGGATAGGTCTAGAGTCAGGGCAGAGCTAGAATGAGGATAAATCTAGCACGAGGATAGATCTAATCAGAATAGATCAAGAATCAGGATACATCTAGAATTAGGATAGATCTAGAACTGGGATAGGCAGTTAGGAAATGGAAGCATTTGACAGGAAGAATGTGACCCAAGCAAGCCAACTGAAAGAAAGGTCACATTGCCTATTTTTTTTTAACACCATCAAGATACATGCTCCTGTAAGCATGTAAGATAAGGTAATATGGCCAAGGTCTTGAAATGAGTGATGGTGAATTTAAGACATGAAAAGAAATGAAGAATAATGCACACCCGACGTTGAAGACCCCAATAGCTTGGATGTTGGCCCAAAGTTTCAGATTCCAAAGCCAACAGCGTTTGAGGCACCTCCAGTACATCCAGAACGTCCCAGCATCTCCATCTCACCATCCACTCCTTACTGTGCCTCCCAGCCTCAGGTGAAGGCCTGGCCATGCTCAACTAGGCCCTCGTCTCACCTCGACACCCTGCCATGCCCCACACCAGTGGGCAGGCCCCAGTGTGCTTCCCTTGTACCTCAAATGAGCCCCCGTGGGCACCCCCGGCCCTCGGCTTTCATCTTGACCTTTCCAGAAAAGATCACATTTGCTTTTCTTTCCCCGGTTATAAAAGTGATACCTGTTAATTCTAGACATCTGTTGATACAGAAAAGGGTAAAACAGGAGATCACAATCCAGTATGATTTCACATCCAGGACAGAATCACAACTCATGCTTTTAAGTATTTTAGCCTTTTGTATAAATATGAAAACACACACACACACACTTGGTAAGGTGGGATCACGCTGAAGTTTTATAACTTTCTTTCATGTCTTTATATATTCTATGAATACATACTACCCACTGGCTGTAATTATACAGCTTTAATGTAATTCAGATAATCACTCCACTATTGCTGGAGCCCTGATGGTGTGTTGGTTATGCGTTAGGCTGCCAACCAAAAGATCAGCAGTGCAAACCCACCGGCGGCTCTGTGGGAGAAAGATGCAGCAGTCAGCTTCTGTAAATATTATAAAACCCTACAGGGCAGTTCTATTCTGTCTTATAGGGTCGCTGTGAGTCAGAATCAACTTGACGGCAATGGGTTTGGTTTGTTTTTTTTGTTTACTGTTGGACTATACCTCACTTTTTAGTTTCTGCAATTGTGCATAACGCTTCAGTAAGTATCTCAATCGCAGGCTACGTCTCTGACCACGCGTAAACGGGACGAGGAGGAGGAGGAGGAGGAGTAACAATACCTGTCTAACTTCAGGGGGGATACTGCAAATCAGGATCAGCTTATGAGGTGGAGGTCAGACATTCCTCCATTCTTCGACCTTTTTACCAATTCCGACACTAGCTGTACCGCCCACGGCACTCTCTACTTCTCTTCTGGGTTTGATTATCCATTCAGTGGCCACACAGAACTCACAGACCACACTCACAGTTAAGTGGTTTATTAAGGAATAGGGTACAACTCAGGATCAGGATTAGAAGCATGTAGGCAGTCTCCCTTCTTCAGCGTAGGACAGCTCTCTCAGCTCCTCTTGACCATGCAGGGCTCCTCTCTGCCCCCTCAGGGCAGGCTCTTCTTGGCCCTGCTGCCTGTCACCACCAATTCTGCCACAAGGCCCCTTCTGGGCCTGTCACCACTGGCTGTGCTGCTGGGCCCCTTCTGGACCTCTTGCTATCTTCAGCCTTTGACCTGTGTTACAGCTCTTTTAGGAGGTTCTTTGCCTCCTCTCTCTCTGCTTCTCTCTTCTTTCTGTCTCTAAAAAACCTCTGTGGGACTGGCTACTTAAACACACAAACTTCTCATCAGTTTCAAGGCATGGCCCTCCCACCAGGGACACAAACTGACCAATGTCCTCTCGGTAGGCCACAGACACTTCATTTGCATAGTAGCTTGGTTGGGCTACAACTCACCTCATTTGCATAGTCTATTTGACCAATCCCTGCATGGTGCATACCAATCACAGGGCAGACTACAGCCGAGGGCCAGACAAAAAGTATCAAACCAAGTTGCTCACAGCTTACCCAGAAAACGTCAGTCAACCTGGACAAAAGTAACAAACCCTCTGAGGTGGAAAACCAGGGCAAAGTTAACTCTTCGGGTCTTTTCGGGGAAAAATCTCTCAAACAGTTTTTCCAAAGAACCAAGGCAAAAGGTCACATAAAGGAACGCATTTCACCACACCACGTCCTGAGATAAGTTCCGTAGAGGAAGACCAAGTCAGAGGGCTGGATACCATCGAGGTTCTTGATGCACTTTACAAGCTGCTCTCCGGAAGCCCCCACCCCCCCTTAGCCCCTCTGCTCAGAAGAAGAGTGCCCACTTCACTCCACCACAACTGGGATGGGCACAGCCAGTGTTTGCTGCTGGTTTTATTCTGCTGGATGATAACAGCCTCCTGGCCAGTCTTCCACCTGCATCTCAGACTGAGTTCTCAAGTCTGCCCCTCACAAACTCAGTCAACAGCCACTCCTAACCCTGAAAGAACTTCACCACAAGCTACCTGGACAATTTAACTTTCTAGCATACTTCATTTCCCAAACATGATGAAGTATCCGCTCATCACCCTCATCACTACAGCTACGTCCTGATTTACCACAGAAAACTGAGTCCCAGCAGCTAACTGCCCCAGCCCACACCCTCTGTGGTCCTATGGGACACCCTGGAGATCTGATCTGCTTTCAATTTTTAAAATAAATCTCAGTGATCGTGCTTCCAGGTTAATTGTCTCTCCTGACAGAAGTGCTAACAAAGTAGGTTAATCATTGGTTAGGCTGCATAACTGTCAAGGAAACCACACCTCACGAACGCTGAGCAGACCTGCCGTGGGTCGGTCAGTGGGACTCACTTTGAGATGTCACTGTTGCCTCGTTGCCATGGTGACATCACATTCCCGATGGCTGCCCGGTAGCAGTAGACACCCAGCAGCCCAAGCGCCAGGGCCACCTTGGACATGGGTGAGCACCTCCTCTGGACCAGCAGGAAGACAGCAAGGAGTGACAGGGCAGCCAGGACTGAGAGTGCAGCCTTGTGGTCAGAGCTGAAACGGGATGGAGACACCTGGTGAGCACACAACGCGCCAGCACACTGCAGCTGCTGGGACCCACACCACGGCTTTCTAAGGACAGATTAAAAAGAGCTGACTTTCCTGAAAAACCAAACAAAAAGGAGAGAAAATTGCTGGTTATTTAAACTCAAGTGGATAAGAGTGTTTACCTGAGTCCCCTTCCTCATTCACAGACGGCCCACCATCCAAGCCCTGAGCGGACACTGTGCTCGGCCCAGGGGCCCGCTCCCAGGACAGCCCATGCTCCCTAAGCCACAGCAAGCAGGTTACAGGCACAACTGCCCCGTCTCCTGTGCCAGGTATTTCATCAGCTCACACCCGTCTTTCCCACCTTCGAGAGCACATGCTTGTAGCACATGCCCACGACCGAGCACCTTCTGAGCACTTGTTCAATGCCGACGAGACCACTGCTCCTCCCAGATGTGGAGGGCACTGCAAAGAGCCAGCAGCCCCCACACCCCACAGGCAGAGCCAGGACCCTCCTTATACCACAGGTGGTCCTGCCCCCCCATGCTCCCACAGGCAGAGCCAGGACCCTCCTTATACCACAGGTGGTCCTGCCCCCGCCACAGGCAGAGCCAGGACCCTCCCCACACCACAGGGGGTCCTGTCCCCCCATGCTCCCACAGGCAGAGCCAGGACCCTCTCCACACCCCTGGTCGTCCTGCCCCTGCCATGCTCCCACAGGCAGAACCAGGACCCTCCTTATACCACAGGTGGTCCTGCCCCCCCCATACTCCACAGACAGAGCCAGGACCCTTGCCACACCACAGGTGGTCCTGCCCCCCGCCATACTCCCACAGGTAGAGCCAGGACCCTCGCCACACCACAGGTGGTCCTTTTCCCCCCCCATACTCCCACAGGCAGAGCCAGGACCCTCGCCACACCACAGGTGGTCCTGCCCCTCCCACAGGCAGAGCCAGGACCCTCGCCACAGGTGGTCCTGGCCCCCCCCCCATACTCCCACAGGCAGAGCCAGGACCCTCACCACACCACAGGTGGTCCTGTCCCCCCATGCTCCCACCAAAGCAGAGCCAGGTCCCCTTCTCACACCCTAGGTGGCCCTATCCCCACCCCCGACAAGCAGAGCCAGGACCCCCTCCCCACACCCCCTGCAGTTCGCCCCCACACCCTCTGGGGCCTCCCTCCTGTGTCACCTGCTGCACTCTCCTTACAGTCTCCGTAACCAGTAAGCGCTATGCTCAGACCACATGCATCAGCGGGAAGATGTGCCAACCTCAGGAACGCTGCCTCTGAAGGAAGAGCATGCAGCCCGGGTTGGGGATGCGACCCCAGAGCCGTTTTAGGGGTATGACACTGCTGCCCCCCTGCACTGATGGACATCGCCCAGTGGAAGGGCACACATGGCACGGGAGTGGCACATCCTCCAACAGACCACGGGGCCAGCGAGAGGGGTCTGCACTGGGCGGCTCGGCGCAGCATGCACGGCACATGCTTACTCAGGGGTCGGGGGGGGTGGGGGGAGCAATCAAACTCTCTTCTTATCTTCCATTCTCGAAACGGCAGGCCCAGGGCTCACAGCCCTGGTCACCACGACCGGCGTGAACCTCCCTCACCTCGGGCTCAGTGCCCTGTGCCCATCCACACCAGCTGCTCCTCACCTGGAGCTAAGGTTCAGTGCAGTGACCCAGCGCCCTGTGCCCGTCCACACCAGCCACTCCCCTACCTGGGGCCCAGGCTCAGCATGGTGACCCAGCGCCATGTGCCCGTCCACACCAGCCACTCCCCTAC